AGAAAGCCCAGAGTTCACTCTGGGGCTGGAAAGGACACTTTGCTTCCAAACCCAGCCCCTCTCACAAGGCCCACTTCACCAGCAGGTCTACAGCCCGAGCCCATGGCTAGCACGCCTGGTCTTCAGCAAAGGACATGAACCTGATGCAGCTGGGGAGCACAGATATGCCAAGGCTGCCACAGCTCAGGAACATGCAGCACCACTGCGTCCTGTTCCCCTGTGCCCGCAGCCAAACCGTCCTGTCTCTCCAAAACAACAAATGGCAACGTGGTCCTTTCTCTGGTGAGGCCTCAGAGAATGTGGTCTCATTCTCTGATGAGAATGAGGACGGTGGACTGGGGCGAGCCTGAGAGTGCCCGGCAGGGCAGAGCACAGCTGGACACATGGCCTGTGTTGGGAGTGATGGAGGGATGCCAGGGGGCACCTGACAATCCAAAGTGAGGTGATGGGAACCTCTCCCAACCAGGCTTGGGGACTGAGCTGCCTAAAATCCATGACATTCATAAATAAATAACGACATCTATATACACATACCAAACACCAGAAATTTAGGGGGATGGTCCTTTCCCTCTCTTCATTGATGAAGACTCCAAGGCACAGAGAGGGTAACCCGTCCAGTAAAGGTCACACAGCTACCGGTGCAAAGACTGAGGAACTTGCTAGAGTCTGTGCTATCAACAGTGATGTCACTGTGCTGCGTGATGGCATCTGAAAAGCATCTGTCTTCCCATCAGGTGAGCCACTGGGCCTTTACAGACCACCATGGCTGTGACACAGAAAACATAACACACACTCTCAGCTGATCTTATGCATTCGGAGGAAACAAGGAAGGAAATGACAGAGGCTTAAGAAGTGTCAGGTGGAGTTGATCTCTCTGAACGGACGCACACGTGATACGGCCCACCCGTGCCATGGAATGGTACTCAGCCTTAAAAAGGAAAGGAATCCTGATACGGGCTGTGATGTGACGTGGGTGAACCTTGAGGACACCACTCTGAGTGAAACCAGCTAGGCGCAAGAAGACAAATACTGTATTTAGATGAGGTCCCTAGTTGACAGATTCATGAAGACAGAGTAGACAGCGGGTGCCAGGGGCTGGGGAGGAAGCGGGGAGCTAGTGTTTAATGGGGGCAGAGCTTCAGTTTGAGAAGATGAAGTTCTGGAGATGCAGGGTGGTGATGGATGCACGTGAACTTTAAATGGTCGAAGTGGTAAATTTTATGTCATGTGTAGTTTACAATTGTTTTTAAACTAGGCAGAGTCTACAGGGAAGAGTAGAGCACTCTGGCTTATCCTTTAACTGTTTCTAGACCAGAGTTTCTGTTCAAGGCAAACACTCCCACTTTGTGACTGGCTTTGGTACCTGGGGAGGAAATGTGGAGGTGCACGGGGAGACGGGCCAGGAAGACAAGGATGGGGCCATGCACTCTCAACTGGAAGGTCTTCCCTTCCCCACCCATCTCCACAGCAGTCCAGTGCACCTGCTGTGTTCTGTGCGCCCAGGTGCAGACGCACACTGCACACTCGGCAGAGGGGTTCCAGATGTGCGTGCCACAGAACACTGTTCAGAAAGAGTCAGACCTGGATGTACAGAACTTCCCACAGAAGCAAGAGGCACTTCTATGGGTTGGCCAGAGGCTGTGGCGCCATCTCAACCCCTTGTAAGTGGGCCCCCAGTCACAAGCCACACTCTCCGTGGGCAGAATTTCCAGACTCCTATGGGGTCTGTGAAGGTGAATCGGCCCTGAAGGGGTCTCTCAGGGCAGGCTGGAGAAACCCAAGGAGCACAGGACAGTGTGCAGCACCTCCCTTTTTGTGGCTGCTTTTGGTTGGGAGTCATAGTGGAGACAACTTCCTGCTCTTTGAAGACCCAGGAAAGCTGCCTGCCATGAATTGATTACTCAGAAGGGTGAACCAACAATTTTGTCGTGGTCATGCTAGAACCCAGCACCCAGCTGCTGAGCAAGCTCACAGACTACCCGACTACTACTCAATCAGGTAGTCAGTCATCTCACTGAATCCTACAACAGCTGGTGCACTATTATCCCCACTTCACAGCTGAGAACACACAGGAAACCCAAAGCACAGACACGGTGAATGGAGGCACTGAGGACAGAACCTCAGTTTTGCCAACTCCTGTGCACCAGCTCTCCCACCTTGGGGTCCTACAGACTTTGCATACAGCTCAGGTAGACAGGCTGCTTCGACACTGCCCTCCCCACCCACGCTACCTCTGCACAGCCTCTGAAGGAAACACCCCAGGGATGCACAACTGATGCCCCCAAATTCCTGCTCTGGTTCACTCTGAATAAGCCAGGGCAAGAGATGTGACACCCGTGTGTATGTGAAATTTTCTTCACGTATGAAAAAAGCTGTGCTGTTTCCTCTGAGCTCTGGGAATGCTGATGAGGCTATCCTCACAGCTAAGACCCACTCGGCTCCAGGGCCACCCTGAGCTTTGCCCACAGAAGTAACGCCCCACAGAAGCCTGTTTTCAATGTCATATCTTCCTCCCATCTCTGCCTGTCTGGAGAAAGCTGCTGGTCAGGGCTTGGTAGCAGAGGGAGAAAGAGCAGAGATAATGCAGGAGCTGCTACCAGGACCAGGACTGCAGTGGCAAACAACACACACTCTTATCTCCTCCCCCAGGCCCTCTCCTCAGAAACAATAAGGGTTTGTTCCAGAACTTCAGATGGAGAAGAGATGAGGTGGATAAAAGGAAGCTGGAGACGATTGCATGCTGGGAACTTTCAGATGTATCCAGTGCCTGAGACTCTGAGCAAAGCAATCACAGCCAACGAGAGTCATGGAGAAGGCTCTCAGCAGACATACAAGGTCCCACCAGTGCTGCTGGGCGTGGAACCTGAGAGGTGAGGAAGAGGCAAGCACTTGCCAGTACAGGCTCCTGGTGGGCCGCTCTCCACCAGGCTACATGTCCAGCTCTGAGCACCCAATGCTAGTGACAAAGAGCAAAAGGCCCAAAGGAAGGTCAAGAACAGTGATCAACTGGCCAGCGAAAGGGTGGGAGTGAGGGCCACCCCGTGGCCAGCCTCCTCCCTGTTGTATGGGTGAAAGAACATTTATGGAGCACAGACAGAATAATGCCTCTTGTGTTCCACAGTGTTCCAGGCACTCTGTTTATATTCTCTCATTTACTCTCATTACAGTCTATAAAGCAAGCATAATGATCGCTTCACAGACAAGGATGCCAGACCAGAGGAGCCAAAGGACTGCTGACCATCACAGAGCATGGAGTTATCAGCCCCTGTGACCTTCTGTTCTGTAGTACAGGAGTCAGGATCATCTCTACCCCCATCCAGCCCCCCAGAGCTGGCCTGCAGGCAGCTTTCCTAGAGCTCTGGGGTAACTTGCATGTGTTAATTCCCTTTGCAAACCCTCCCCACCCACTGTGACTGCCAGGCCTGCCAAACCCAGGGCTCACCCTCTTGACCCCTCCTCCATTTTTCACCCACTTCCAAGCAGCTTTTCTGGGATCTTCGGGGAATTCTCAGGAAGGACCTGCCACTGCTGGAGGATGACATCTTATCTAACTTCTTTAGAAAGGTAAAAGAGGACTAAGGGTGGAGCTCAGTGACAGAGCACCAGCCTTGCATGCAGGAGGTGCTGGGATCAATCCCCGACATCACGCCTTAAGAAAAAGATAGAAGAGATAGTAAAGTCTCATCTGAGGGAGTAGAAAATGTGTGTGCATGTTTACATGTGCCTTGTGCACACATCTGTACATGTGCTTGCATGCGTATGCCTTCGTGTGTGCACGCACGTGTGCGTGTTCACGTGTGCATGCAAAGCTGCAGCAGAGAAGCATCCAGGAGAGCCCTTCCTGCCTTCTGGAAGGAGGAAGCTGTTACCTTGTCTCATCTGTAGATGCTCCGTTCTGGGAGTCAGGGGACCCAAGCCTTGTACTTGCCCACAACGATGAACTAAGGGGCTGACCACCTGTCCGTCTCCTGAAGATGCCTTTAGTCTCCTGAAGATGCCTTTCGTTGCCACTTACCTGATTCTACAGAAGGGGCCACAGCAGGGTGGGGCTGCACTTCCCCTTGCCCCAGGATCAAGCTGGGGATGGAGCCAGAGTAGGCTGCATGGCTGGCTAGCCCAAGGCATACTTGGTGAGCCCCACAACACTGGGCATCTTCCCCTGGTGCCAGCCCTTTGCTGAGCCCTCCTTGGGCATCAAGGTGAGCGGCTGCCAGGCTTCCCTGAGATGTCCAGCTCAGGTCTTGGAGCAGATTCCTCACAATGCCTTTTCCTTGGAGACTTTAGGGGGAGCTAATGAGAGGCCCCCCCCAAACAAGCCATTGTCCCTGTCTGCCAATCAGAAACAGAGGTCCAGGGACACTCTGATTCCCGCCCCCACCTCCCCAAAAGGGGTTTAGAAAGGGAGGGGCCGCGAACAAAAAGGAGTCTGTTAGGAGCCCCTCTTCTGCGTGGCTCAAGTTGGTTAGGACGCACGGACAATCGGAGGACTTCGTATCTCTAAGGCGAGGGCAGTGTACCGCAGAACCGGACGCATGCCACCTAGTCCCTCCGCGGGGCCAGGAGGCGCGGCAGCCGAAGTCCCCCCGGCTGTCAGCGCTGTCCACCTAGGGGACGCGGACACCGACCGGCAAAGCGGGGGCCCGCACCTGCCTCGCCCAACAGGAAGCGGCCCGCGCGCTCGGACGCCCTCCGGGGACGGGGACCCCGCGCGCCGGCCCACCGGCTGCGGGCCCTGCTGCGGAGCCGTTCCGCCGGAAACCGCGGGCTCCGAACCAGCTTAGGACGCAAAGACGCCGCCTAATCAGCTTTTTAGAAAGAGAAGCTCTGCCCAGGAAAGGAAAAATACCCCTGGCCGCGGAGCCCGCGTGCGGACACCTGCGCCTCCGCCCCCGCGGAGTCGCCAACGGCCGCGGACCGACCCCCGACCGCTTGCTCGAAGGACGATGTCACTCGCACCGCCCTCCCCCAGAAGGGGCGGCCGCTGGCGGGGAGGGGGCTACCTTCTGAATGCGCCCATCGATGTCCAGGTAGATGGCCTTGGGCCGGTAGCTGGAGGAGCCGGACCCCATCTTGCGCGCGTGGCTGCACTTGGACTTTTCACTGTACTTTCTCGCCGCGGCCGCGCGCCGGGAGGGCGGGGGGAGGGGCGGCGGCGACCAGCCAACCAGAGCGGCCGCCGCGCCCGCCGCACCGCTCCCGCACGCCGCGGCTCCGCCCCCGCCGTCCGCACGCCCAACGCCTCCCGCCCCCGCCCCCGCCCTCGCCCCGCTTCCCCGGCCCATCCCCTCCCCCACCCGCCTCCCGCCTCGCTCTCCATCTCCCCCTCCCTCTTGTCACTCACCCCTGTCTCCCGCCTCCCTCTCCATCTTCCCTCTCTTCCATCTACTGCCCCCGCCTTCCTCCCTCCCCCTCACTCACGCCGTCTCCCGCTTCTCTCTCCATCTTCCATCTACTGCCCCTTGCCTTCCTCTCTCCACCCTCTCTCTATCCTTACCCCTGTCTCCCACTTCCCTCTCCTCCATCTCCCCCCACTTCCATCTACTGTCTCTCGGTTTCCTCCCCCCTCCCTTACTCTGCCCCGTCTCCTCTCTCACTGATTCTCCTACCTCCTCCTTCCTCCTGCCTCTCTCTCTCTCTCTCTCTCTCTCTCCCTGTTTGCTCTCTCTTCTTCCTCTCCACCTTTCTCCCATCTTCTGTCCTTGTCTCTCCCGTCCCTCTCTTTCTCCCTCACTCCTGCCTCCTCTGTCCCTCCCTCGCTCACCTTGCTCTGTCCCTCTCCCTCTGTCTTACTGTGATCTCCCTCCCTCTCCTTTCTGTTCTGACTTCTCTCCCCTTCTTCTTCACCTCCCTCCCCAGATTAAGGCAACCCCCTCTTCTTCCCTTTGATTCATCTACCTTGGAGACAGGGCCCACTTGGCACCTGTGTCTAAGTGTCCTCTGGCTGATGTCCATGGTGCTCCCTTTGATTTGAATTCCTGATGCCTCCCCACATGGTCAGTCAGTCAGTCATTAGGGATCGCCTAGGAAAATTTCCTTAGGCCCCCTCCCTGACCACCACCCCCACTTAATGTGGATAGGAAGTGGGGAAAGTGCCTTCTCAGTCGTCAGCATCCTTCCCTAAGGCAGTCCAGGGAGGGCCAGCCTCTCCCCCTGCACCTGCAGCTGAAGTGGCAGTTTTATTTCTGTCCTTCATGGAGCTCAGAGAGGACTGCCCAGCTATGGTGGCTATCTGCTGGGTACAGCACTGTACTAGGCTAATTGCTAATTGCTACAGGGAGTGTGGGAAAAAACAGGAGACTGTTGCTCACGGTTCTCTGGGAGTGAGCTGCAGGGACTGCAGTGACTGGTGGAGTGTGTTGCTTTTGGAAGCCGGTGTCACACAGCCAAGAATGTGCTTATTGTTTGTTTTAAGTGGCTTCCCAGCCTTGCTTTCCATCTGTTGAATGTCTGGGTTGTGCTTATTGAAAGAGTGCCTGGGGCACAGGGTGCTCTCTGCCCTCCAGGCCGGATGGGAACTAAGTTAACCATGCTCACTTCCTCCCTTGCCTTGGTCTGGTGCTGGTCGCTGACCTTATGAACTCCTCCGGGGCCAGGGTTAGGGTCAGGGGAAGGTGAGAATCCCATTGTGCTCTTGGTGATCTTTGGCCTCTCGTTGGTCATGCCAGCCCCCATGTTGCCTTGATGGTTCTGACCCTGACTGGCTCAGCAGCCCCTGCCCACACCCTCAGTGCAGTGAAGGTCTGAGCTTGGGAGCCGCAAGGATTGCTTACAAATGACTGGGGTACCAAGGATAGAGCGTGGGGTAGGAGGTAGGAGTTGACCTCACTGGGTTGTAAAGCCGGCCACTCGATTCCCAACTGTGATTTTGTGTTCCCAGAAAACAGAGGCCCTCCCTGTTACTGTTGCTGGAATTTGCTGTCAAATGCTCTGACATTCTTTGGCAGAATCACAGTCTGCATTTGGGGCCGCCCATGCTGCCTGGCATGGAGGGCTTATGCCTTGCAGCTGGTTTGTCAGCTAGGTGCTTACTTAAAATAAGTGACATCTGGCCTAAACCTCTCTAACCATCTCCTGTAACACCCCAGGAACCAGCTTCCAGACCTGGTGTGTGGCAGCTGACCAGCAGCTTGGAGGGTGTGGCAGTGCCCCTGTGGCTGCTAGGCACTCGCCTGGTTGACCCCTCACACTGCCTGGCAATGACAATGCTCCCATGCTTATTCTGCATTTAATGTCTTTCCTTTCAGGAGACAGACCAGGCTGCTGTACAGATAATCAATGAGCAACAACTGTTGCCCAAAAGGAGACCCTTGCCTGTCCCCAATTCCCTGGTGGAGTCATAGTCTGTCATTCACCAAGAACTTAATTTATGTGTTCTGGGGACTGTTTGGGGCACTGGCAAAATGAACAGAAATCCCTGGCTGGGAGGGGTTGGCATTTTGGGGAGGTGGACAGGCTAAATGGGATAGGTAAGTGTAACTCAGGGTGTGGTGAACAACAGTTTGTGCAAAGGAGAAAAGTCACATGGGGGAAGGTATAAAATGTGGGGTGTGGGTGTCACGAACGGTCAGCGTCAGTGCAGCTGTCCATTCTTGCATCTAGAGAGAGAAGATTTCAGGCAAGATTGAAAGCAGCATAGTAAAAGTATAGTTTAGTAGACTAGAAAGGCTCTTTGGGAGGTGAAGTGGCTTGTCTCTTTCTGAGACATCAAGAACAATGACGACATCTGCCCTGGCATGGGCTTCCATTGATGTTTAAAGGCCTTGGAGCATCAGGCACCTCCTCGGGACCAGGATATGGGGAGTGACTGACATGAAAGTTGTGAAACAACGACTACTTCTCGAGAATCAGTCTGTGCACGTGATCACTCATGACCCCGCACACACTGCAAGGGAGAAAACGTTAAAGTACAATGAGGTGATGACATGGTGCCCTATTACCCACCTTAGCTGGATTAGACCAGAACTTGTTTTTCACTTGGAACCAGGTGCAGGGTGACGTATGTGACTTGTACGCATTCCAGAGCAGGGTTAATCTTGAGGAGGATTTGGCCGTATCAGGCCTCCTCCTTATCAGTTTGCACCAGCTCTTCTGCCTGCTGGTCATAGGGGGTCTCTTTCATGCCTCGCAGGTGTCTCACAAGGCTGTGGCGCCGAAACCCTGCGTCTAGAAAAGGTTAAGTGGCCACACGAGCAAGCACGTAGGCACTGAGCTGAGGATTCTCCGTGTTACCATGGTATGGTTCCTTTGCATAACCCCATCACATCACTCACATCTAACTGCTACATTTCACGGGGAGCTGGAATTTGGGGGCGTGCCCAGGCTTAATTAAGGTCATAGGCGGAGCCCAGGAAGACCTAAGGAAGAACCTACTAGCCAAGGGAGCAGCCTCATTCATGTCAAAGCCTTGTCCAGGAGGCCAGCAGGACTGGAGTGGAGTGTGGAGGGGGCAGATGGGGACACTGGTGGGATGTGAGATCAGAGAGGTGAGAGAAGGCAGCAATGTGGGGGTCACACAGGGGACTTTAGTCTGCGTGTGACTGAGGCAGGCCATCCAGGAAGTTGTACAGAGGAGAGAGGAGGTCTGGCTTCTGTTTTACCTGGACCACTCTGGTTGCCTATGGAGAGTCAACTGGCAGACAAGGACCCAAGCTGGGAGGCAAGCCAAGAAGGGCTTTGCAAAGTATGGTGGCCATTTGGACTATGGTGGAGTATTAGTCAGGGGTCATTCCAAGAAACAGGAAGAATAGAAAATATACATTATACATCCTCGACTTAGGATGAGGTTGTGGCCTGATAAGGCCATCATAAATTGGAACTATGACAAGTCACAAATGCACATAACTCACTTCACCTCCCTCACATCATAGCCGGCAACCAGTGCACAGTGGAGAACTGGCTGTTTCCCCCCGTGGTGTCGGGCTGACTGGAAGCTTGCTGCCACTGCCCAGCTTTGAGAGAAAGTGTCGTGCTGCCAATCACCAGCCTGGGGAAAGATCCAAATTTGAAACCCACAGGACATTTTCTCTTGAATGCATATTGCACTTGTACCACGGTGAAGTCAAGATAAGTTAAACCATAGGTTTGGGACCATCTGATACCTGTCAGGACTCTTTGGCTCGTGTGATCATAGGACTGAGAAGCCCCAAGGTCTTCATCTGAAGCTGGAGATCCAGAGAGCAGGTGGTGTAGTTCTTGTCCAAGTCTGAAGGTCTGAGAACCAGGGGAGCTGATGACGTGAATCCCAGTCCAAACTCACGTCCCAGCTCAAGCAGGCAGGAAGAAGGGGCACTCCTCAGTGGAGGGACATGGCTGGAATCCATGTGCGTTCTGGACACTGTCCTGGTCTTTGTGTCTGTTGTTCCTGGGTGGGTGTGATTTCTCCTTTTTGCCTTCCTTTCCTTTGTTATGATATCATTCTGCCTGCAGCCGAACTTGGTCCTAGGGGGTCTCTATGGATAAGATACCAGGGGCCAGCCTCCCCACCCACTTAGCACAAAAGCATCCTGGCCTTTGGCCTAGCCACTGTGCACACACCCTCGGACGTTGTTCAGACTCGGGACAAAAATGAAAGAAAACTCTTGCTCCTGCCAGGTGAGTTGGAGACCTTGGAGTGAAGTCCACAGCCCTGCTTGCTTGCCTCCTCTGCTGGGGCCTTGGGTCTTTTGAAGGTTGTTAACTGACTGTACATAATCAGGAGGGAGGGATGTTTCCAAGTGTGTGGGCCTTAGCAAGAGATCCTGCCTGCATCTCACCAGCAAGGAGGATGGTAGGGAAGGAGAGCTGGGATCCAGGGCAGGACCAGCCTCTGTCCTCAGCCTCTTTCTTCTGGTACTTTCCAGTGTGCACGTGGACTCCATCTTCTCTGCAGAGAACATTCTGATGTTGCTGAAATGATTGACCAACGAGGCATAGCGAGCAATTGAAGAAGGAAGGAGTCAAGACAAGGGCATGAGGAACTAGTCACTGGTTCCCAGGCCCCACGCCAGCTCAGATCTCCAGCCAGAGAGCAGAGAGAAGGGAGAGAGCATGTCCTCCCAAAGCGAGCATCCTCCAGCAAGGTCGACTGGTTGGGAAGAAGGTCCAAGTGTTCAGGAAAAGCCTAGAGGCTCCCTCCCAAAGGTGG